TAAAGCAAATATGGATAATCCAGGTAAAGAAAAATCGCCTCTCATGGTATAGAAATTTGCCTGGTCACTAACCTCTATCTAAGGGCTTGGTGATCCTATCCACATCCTGTTAACCAGTGTCAGCAAATAAAGGGTGCTTATGAATTGGTGCAAAAAAATTAAAGGGCCATTGTTAACATTATTGTGTTTTCTGGCTTTGCTTGAAGAAAACAAGTATAAAGACAAGTATGGCACAGCAAGGAGGCTGCACAGAAAGACAATGCCCCCCCCCTGTAGGCTTCCTGTGCCTTAACTCCTTCAGCATCATCAGACCAGTGTTTAACTCCCTTAGCTGTTAGCATGACAAATATAAATATTATCGGCCAAAAACTGCTCTCAGTTACATGGGGACAACTCCCATGAAAGCCACTGACAGTGGTACCCTTGTAACTTGGAATAGGAGTTGTCCCTAGTTATTAAAAATCAATTAATTAGCTCTGCACTGATAATGCTTAGATTATTACAACTGGACACTTTTTTTTAATCAAATTTAATTTTCACCAGTGACACTGTTAATTTTTTTAATTCCACTTGGCTTGGAACATTAAATTAATCACTTTCACTTTTTAGTTTCAAAACATCAGAGGATAGTTTAGATCTTTTTAATAAATATGTTTTCATTTATTTATCTTCATTTCATACTGTTTTGTTAACTTGATGTTGAATCACTAGCAAGGTTTTCAGTGTTTCATAGAGAAGAAAAGAACATTCTGTGTCACTGGAATGCATGTGATACCTGATTTCTGCTATGTTGTTATCTCGCTCTAATTTTTTGAGTCTGAGAAAGTGACTAAGATCCATCTGTGTGATCTCTAGCTCCTTGTATTATGTAAAAATGACTTCCAGTGATCATAAAATCATAGACGATAGGGCTAGAAAAGGCCTCTTGGGTCATGTAGTGTGACTTTCTGAATTGTGCAGGATATTTAATTGCACATTCCCACTCTGTCTAATGTAATCTGGCTTGAGTACCTTCAGCAACAATATCTCAATAGCCAGTGAGACAGTCAGCTATCTCCATTTACACCCTAGTCTATTCTAATGCATACACTGTGATAAGCAAATTTTCCTATTGATTAGTGTGAACATTATCATATTTTACTTTTAGCTTATTACTCTTTATTAAACGTCTGATGCAAATAAACCCTTCCTTCCAAAAATTATTTCCTTGATGTGCCTTTTAGACTGTGCTAGAGTATTCTTTAAACAAACAAACACACATTGACTTCAGGGGTTAATAGATTCCTTGTAGAATAATCTTCCTCCTGCAGACCTTTTCAGGTGTTTAGGTTCTGGTGTTGTCCAGCCAAATGGTTCCTGATTATGGAATTTCTTTTTCCTGTCTTTCCTTAAAAAAGGCTAGGAAAGTCCTTCAAAGGAAGCCTGCACTGTGCATGTGTCTTAGCTTTCTGATTCACTGCTTCTTTCCCTAAAATGAACCTAAAGAAGGCTGTGTTTCTGGATTAAAAACAAAACATACAGTACTTGGCTACTGACTAAGTTATTATATTTCTTCTAAGGAATGTATTTTATCTTCCAGAGAGGCAGATCCTCAGATGCAACTTGAAGAGTACTTGGCACAGCTGAAGGGTAGTGGTGCAAAGGTGCCCCTTATGCTCCTCTGTACTGGTTCTGTGCTGAAGGTTGCCTTACACTGCACAAACTGTCTAAATCCTCTTTTCCCATCTATACCCTGTAACAGGGTTGCGACTCCGCCCCCGTCTTCTTCCTTCCCATAACCTCCCAGACACCACCTGGTGTACCTTCAGTGAAAGTTTATTTAAATTTCTCTCCATCAATATCACTACAGTCTCCCAAGCTCTCCCCTGTTTACAATATTTGCTGAGCTTTAAGCCTTCTCAGTAGGGGAACAGAGGTCTCCCTACTCTGAGGCCTCTGACAAGGCTCAGCTAGCCTCCTTATTAGTAGAGACAGGCCCAGAGCTGAACCCCAGGTAAATAACCAAAACAACCCTCGTACATTTGGAGAATGTTCAGCTTGTATGATTAGGCACTCAAAGAGTCAGGTAGTAACAGTTCAGATTACATCTATTTCCTTTCTTCCTTCCTGTATCAGCCCTGGGCGAATGGGTTAGTTTTTACCCCACCCAGCCCACCAGCCTGATGAGATAATTACCCCCAATCAGCTTCTCCTGGGGCCCTAATCAGCATTGAAGTGATCAGAGTGCAGGCTCACTGACTCACTCCTGGCACTCTGTCACACACCCCTACCCCAGCAGTTGGGAGGGGGTGGGGTCGGTTCAACGCCACTTTCTACTGGCAGAGTGGCACAAAGCATCTGAAGTCTGGCCCAAAATATCAAAGTCAAAAAAGATATATTGGACTATTCTGACCATGAAAATGTTAAATATATCAACCCCCCTGCCCTGTATCTAAGGGTGTATGATACTGTAGTGTTTGAAAACTCATATGTGGTCATGAGATGCTATGTTCTTATATCAGAGGGGTAGCCGTGTTAGTCTGAATCTGTTAAAAGCAACAGAGGGTCCTGTGGCACCTTTGAGACTAACAGAAGTATTGGGAGCATAAGCTTTCGTGGGTAAGAACCTCACTTCTTCAGATGCAAGTAATGGAAATCTCCAGAGGCAGGTATATGTTCTTATGTTTGCACCAAAAGACATTCTATCAAGATAACAATTACTGCTAGTTGAGACTCCTGTGTCCTTTTTGATCACTGTTATGGAATATCCATATTCCACGGAGTAATACCTATGTAGCTAAGGTAGTAGAAAAATGTATAATATATTATTTTAAAAATAGGTATAATTGTTAAATGAAAGACTTAAATTAAATTAAAACAAAGGTCTGAGTTAGTTTTGTACATGCAGTCTGAACTTTGTCACTACCTGGCTGTTTGAGTGCCTAATCATGCAATCTGAACATTCTCCAAATGTAGGAGGGTAGTTTTGGTTATTTACTTATTGATATATGGAATAACTATTTAGTTTTGTGAGGTATTCTTCCATCATCTCTTTGGTAACAACCCTGTGTTCTTGAGCCTCACCCATGGTCCTTTGCATTATGTCCCCTTTACCTTTAGTCTTTTTGTTGAAAACCGAGTAACAATAGGTAGTATCTATATTATTTTAGTGATTTTTATTGTTTATTCTTCTTTCTTACTAAATAGCACTCCTGATTCTTTCCTTACTTATCTTTTTCTCTGGATTTATTTGGAGGAACCTTATTTTGTTTTAACTCCTTTAAGATAACATAATTGCCTAGGCTTGTTTGTCCTGGTTACTTTATCACTTGTATGCTATGATTTATTTACTTCTTTCAAGATCACCTTTTTTCATTTCCTGTATAATTCTGTTTTCTGTTTCAGTTCCTTGCTAACTTTTGTTACCCATATTTTTCCTTGGGAACTCATTATGCTTTGGGCTCTTAGTATTGTGTCCTTTTGAAATGCCTGTCAGTCTTCTTGCAGCTAGTACTTTTGCCCATTTACCCTCCTTTTATTTTCCTTATGTTAATGTTTGTCTTACAAAATGGTAGTGTCTTAGCCTGACAACCCACTACTTAACCTTTCTCCCTATCCTAAATTCAGTTAACTTAAACTGTATCAGCAAACTGGAGTCTTT